TCCCATCTAGAAGGCTGCTAGTCTCACAGCCTTGCCACCGTCCTTTCGTACTTCCCTGACTCTTCAGGTGGGGACATACCAGCTTCGGACCCCTCTCTCACCGCCCAAATATCCGCGAAAAAAAAAATTCGTACCTCCCTTCAGATTCGGGTGTATTTGTCCGCAAAAAAAACCATCGGAGCTTGGGCCTATGGCCCAAATTTTGTCCGTTTTCCGCCTCGGTCAGAGCCCTCATACCATTAACCGGGGTCCTATCAACGCACGAGCCTATTTAATGGAATTGTTCATACAAGTCCTTGTTAAAAGAAAAGTATGTATATGGACACCTGTCAGATTAGACGTTGCACTGCTCCCTACTGCTCCACCAACGGTTATATAACGGTGTAGCAGCGATCATGACTTCCTTGAATAACACTTGACAATGATTAGTGGCAGAAACCAGATCTCACTTAGTAATATGGGACTGGAAGCATCAGATTTTGAGGAAATATATAATACAATTCACCTAGCTCAGCACACCAATGGCCGGTGCTTTCAATGACAAGCACATTACGTTGAAGTCTATAACGGCAATGGGCGCCATTATTTTTCGAGAATAGTATTAGAAATGATGGTCTGCGAGATAGGCGGCCCGTCGTGGTAATCAAACGGCATCAGGGCTCGACCAGTCCTGGTATTGGTATGCAATTATCCTCATTTAGTGCGTATCGTAAGTTATGTTCAATGAGTACTGATTTTGTTGTGGGGTAAATACAAGCTGGGCCAGTGTGGAAACTATGGTTGGTGGCAAGCAAGAGAAAACCCTGGATCACCACTTGACGCTCACCACGGCATTCACGTTATCATGAGCAACCCCTCCACACCTCAAACAGACGCTGATAGGGTACTTTTCTACATATCTGAAATCCATTATACCTACGTTCATCCTAAACCCAATGCTTCTGCTCATCCTTGATTGATTCGAATAATGAATGCTAACGCCCTTGATTGATCACCGTCCTACCTAATTTAGATCAGACTTAAGCGTCTTGCTAG